CTGATACAATAATAAATCTGTTTCTATTACCTAGATGGTAGCTTCTTGAGAGATATCAACTCCCCAGATTCCCTTGGGGCAAGGGATTTCACCTCAGGGTTGGCACCTCTAAGTGACCTGGAGATATATTGTCAATAAGGTCCATGAAAGGCAGCTGAGAAGAGCCCAGTGCACATTTTCACCTTGAAATCACTACCCAGTGCCTTGGGTTTTTGGTTGAAAACCAGCTGAAAACCATCAACATTCCTATCCCACTTCTGCAGCTCGAGGAGTTTTCCCTTCTCCCCCTCTTTGGCTCTTCTGTAAATAAAAATGGCTTTATTGATTTTATTTCAGTAACGGAGAAATAATTTGCCTTTGGCCCGAGCTCACAGGATGCTAAACTCCAGCCAGGAGTGTGGTTTTGGGGGTTTTTTTTCCTCCTTTTATAGCATTTCTGATCTGTGTTTATGATGCCAGCGCTGACACATCCTAAACTACAGCGTGGCTATAACCTCCGGAAAAAACTCCCGGCGGGATTGAAATAGTGGCTGGCAAATGTTCCGTCCTCACTGGAGCTTGTGAATCAAAACCCATCAACGGTTTAAGCAAAGGCTTGTGCTGGGGAGGGAGAACTTATGCCGGAGTCGATGCATATTTTATCACCACGCTTATTCACTCGCAGCCCTTCTCCCTTCGAACGCTGCGCGGGTTTTAATTAAATAGTCATTGGCGAGGCTGTTATTCTAGCTTGGAAGGCCTCCAAATGGCCGTGTTTTTTCCCCAAAACGATCACAAGGGGATGTGCTCCCATCCCCCCCGTCCTCGCCAAGGTTTGTCTTCTGCAAATACTGCTAATTACATTTGTCTGGCCGGACGCCGGCTCTGTGATAGCATCTTTCATTAGCGCTGACCTCTCCGCGCTCGCAAGGAGCTGGCTGGTGTTCCCGGAGCGGTGCCTTGTGGATGCTGCCAAGGCACGTCCCTTTGGCACCGGGCAAGCAGGTCTGGGTCTTGCAAGCGATGGGGTCGTGTTGAGCCCCGGTTCATTAGCGTCTGCTTGTAAACGAGGTTCTGCAGGTTGGGTGCAGCTCCCTGTCTACACAACTGGGTTGTTCCTGGTTGCAAACCAGAGTGGAGAAAGGCTGAGGTCGGTGCCGCCAGGATCTGCTCTGCCAAGGTGCTGCTGGTGGCCACGCGAGGGTGCTCAGCTTGGGTTAGGTGCAGGAGGGGTGAAGAAGTGAGTGGGAGAGGACAGGACACCTCTCCTTGGCTTTAAACATGTCGTGGAGGTTCTCTTGAACCTCATGCCAGACTCTCCTGGCAACACAACCTGTAGCAGCGTAGATGTTGCTGTAGGCAGCTCTCCAGGGGGTTTAGAAGAACCCACAGCCAGGGGCCAAGAGGTGCCACCTCCCTTACTGGCACCTAAAGATACTGTAATGGGTCTTTTCCTTCCCCTGGCTTTAAATTCCCATCCGGCTCCTCAACTACTGACACGAGTTTGCTCCCGCTTGTCAGGAATGAGATACTTAATTTGTCAGTTCGCTACGCTTAATATTTCTTTCATGTATCGCGTCAGTTTTAAATGCAAAACATGTCTGGATAAGCTCACTTTTTTGCTTTTTCGGTTTTTTTTTCCACCCTGCTGTAGCTGACACATTGAAGGTAGCCGTGTTTAACTAATAAAAAAGATTTTAAAATGCTGGTTTTGCACTTCTTTAATTGACTTCAAATTTCCATTCGCATGCAGCCTGGCACATCGCAAAGGAAAAAAGCGCGCCGAGCAAATAAGAAATGCGTCACTCCCCGGTTTTTTATCATAATCAAAAATGTAAAAATTAAGAATCTGAATCAATGTACATTAAACTATGTAATTGCCTAAATACACTTGGCGGGGGTAGATAATGGGTCTTCCTGATTAGAAGAATGTACTGAATTTAGTGCAAAGGTTGTATTTGGTTGCAAAGCAGCGTGGTTTAGTGGTTGCATCCTTCTTTTGGGAGATAAACCACATAGGGGGGCTCAGAGGGCAGCGATGGGTCCAGGCACTGGTGGTGAAGGGGTTCTCTGCTGGAGAGGGGATGGAAGAATTGATAGTGGGAGTTGGTTTTCCAGCTTTCGTGAGGCGTGTGGTGGTTGTGTTTTCTCTTCCAGCACCCAGTCCTGGTGGTCCCTGACCCAGTGACCTGGTTTGCAGTGACCAGTCTTGCAGTAATAGAAGAGGCTCCCAAGAGCAGGACCCTCCAGGTAAACCCCCAGCCCAGCCGGGTTTATTGCGACCTCTGTCTTTATTGTTACTTGAACTTGCTCAAGGTGGTTTGCGGCTCCATGGGGCACACTTGTGGAGTTTTATTAAGATGCACCACACGCCTCCCAACCCTTTTCCTTGTAAATTGTGGCAGCGTTGCCAACCCGACCAGTGAAAATAAATAACATCCTGATGTCACAAACTACGCTTGAAACTGCTCGATAGTCTTACGGTTATCCCGAGAGCTGCAAGCCTGCTGTTTGAAGCCACTGCCTGTCAGCAGAAACGCAGAAGTGGGTGTCTGGCACAACTGTAAATCGACATCCGTCATCTGGTGGTGGTGGTGGCAGGAGTTGGTCAGTGACGCTGCCATTGCCACCGTGCCTGCCAGCCCTCTAAAGGCTCCTCCCCTGCCCTGGTGTTTGGGAGCAAAAAAAAAAAAAAATCATCCAAGTCTGAGTATCAGCTTCCATTTGTCCTTTCCCCTTTGCTTTCCCTCAACCACAGCCAAAAGTCATTTCACCAGAGTCGCTGGTGTTTTTTTGCTCCAGACCTGGTTGTCCTTCCCTGTCAAACAAGCAGTGCTCCAGCACGGGATGTCCCCAAGAGCTTTTAATCTCCAAAATGCCTCCCCAGGCGAATCGTGTTAGTATTGGGGGGGTGCAGGAGCAGGGGGAGAGCTGCCCACCTGTGGTGGTTGTTATTCATTGCTCACCAACGAGGAAAAGCTGCTGGGTTTTGAGGTTACAGCCTGGCAGCAAGGAGTTAAAGGAAAGGTGAACTATTAAGCGGAAGCAAAAAGGCACTGTGAGAAGGGCAGGAACCCAAGAAAGCTCTTCTGGGGATGAAAAAAAAAAAAGCTGTCACCTGGAAGGGCTCCAGCTGCCTGCCTCCTACCCAGCCAGCGCCTCTTCTGCTCCCCAGAACCCAGACTGCCATGGCAGGGATGCTGGAGGGCATGAAGCTGGGATGCTTCTGGGGATAAGAGGCTTTTGCAGGTTGCAAAGGGGCTCGGCTGCTCCAGTGAAGCAGCCAGTACCTGGGTTTTGCTGGGGGAGAAGCAGAAATGTGTTGCAGCATGCATGAGCCCATCTTGTTGAGCTTGTTGCTCTGAGCACAGGCTATGGAGGTGGCTAAATAACAAGGAGTTAAACAATAATGATAACAAAAAGGAGGTTTTTTTTTACTCTTAAGGTTTACCAGCCCAAGCATCCTAGCAAAGAGAGATGCTGGGATGCAGGAAGCTGCAGGCACTGTGCATCATCAGTGGGATGGTCCTCCTGGGGTAAGAAGAGGTGTCCCAAGCATGGGTGAAAAAGGCTGGACCATGGCAGCTTTTAGCAAAGGGAGAGGGTGCATCAGCCACCTTCTATAGGCAGAAGCAGCATGCTACTGCTAACGAGGAAACCTCAGAGGCAGGGTTAATGAACACAGCCTCCCAAGGTCTCCTAACACGGGTGGATGCCACTGACCTTCATAGGAAGCCCTTGAAGGCAGAAACGCAAGGCCTCCAGGCAGTGACTGAGAGTAGTAAATACTTTTGGGAGCACTTTGAGAGAACATTAACCTAAGCTCTCCTAAACCACCATGAGCAGCAAGGTGTAAACGGTGATACCCGGGGCTGCTCCAGCACCACCTCTTATCTCCAGGCGCTTCAAGCCCATCCATGACTTCGTGCTCATGACCTGCTGCCATCAAGGAAGCAGGTACAAGAGGGTTTTGTCCATCTAGGAGCTGTTTTTGTCTGTCTGGGGCTGACAGATGACGGATGACGAGCTGTTTCTCTAATGGATAGAGGGGGAAAAAATGCAATTACCCAAAGTAGGCTTTTGGCAGGACATGGAGGCAGCGGAGTAAGGTCGGTGAAACTTGAGGAGGAGGGGATGAAAGACCAGCTGCTCACATCCAGGGGCCTGCTTTGCTTTTGGTTGCCTCCTCAGAGACATTTGTGCAGTAATTAGCAATGTAAAACACGCGTCGGCCTCTTTGTTCCCATTAGGCTTGGCTACGGCTTGAAATGATGCGCAATAGTAGCCATGGTTAATTTTACCAAATGTTCACTTTAATTTCATTTAAGACCAGCTGTCTATAAATCTATAGTGCCTATTTACATCACGTGCATATAAATATATATATATATATATATTTTAGTCTGTGCTGAGGATAAGGAAACAGTTAACAAGGCACTGGTAGGAGCAGTGCACCCTCTGGTCCCCAGCCTCCAACCCTGGGGTGATATGTGTGGTCAAGCCTGAAGGCTTAATAGTAGCTTGATGCCCGTGGAGCTGACCTTTGGGTGATACCTCCTTAGGGATCAAGCCTTGCTGCTCTGTTCCTCCACCCTAAAATCCTCCAAGTGTTATGTGTCCAGGTCACTATTAAACACCCAGTGTGTAAAGCAGCTACTCATTGGGCAGCGTGCAGCTGGGAGCCTGCAGCGAGCCCTGGTTTATTTGCATCTGAGCAAGCACACCTATGTTTAAATACCTCTAAACAAACAAGTCCACCCAGCTCCTGCTTTGCTCTTCCTTGTGTCTTCAAGGCTTGGTTTATCGTTGGTATCCAAGGGCAGTTTGGTGGTTTGTCTCCTTCCTTACTCTCGGGGTGTGGGAGGATTCCTGCTTGATGGTAGTGTGGGTAACATTGCCCTGGTAGTGTTGATCCCATGCTATGTGGTCCAGTGTGGGCTGATGGCTTCTTCTACCAACTTTCACCATCGTGTCACCTCTGAGCCACCACCGCTGTTGCATGAGATCCCAGCATGGATCCCTCAAACCTGTGTGTGCACCGTCCCTCCCTCTGGCAGCACCAGGACAGCCGGGAGGAGGCTGCCACGAGGCGATGGGAAGGGCTGCAGCTCCTTGGTCCCGAAGCGTGGTGAGATGTGGTCAGCCAAGAAGCGTATGTGGAAGTGCCGGCCGACACAGTGGACCAGGCTGCCCACCACGGCGCACTGGAAGCCAGACAGGCCGGGCATGGTGTAGGTGGCACACTCGTACCACAGCTTGGCCTTGGCGCTGCAGCGATAGACGCTGATGCTGGTGCTGCGGTGGAGGTCAAAACGGTAGATGAAGCCATTGGTGCTCACCATCTCAGCTGTCCTGTCCTTGCCGCCGCCGGCCGGGCTGACCCTCCAACTGTCCGAGCGGGCGGTGTAACGCAGCAGCACGTAGCGCAAGGTGCCCCCTGTCACGTAGATCTCCCCGTCACACACCGTAGCCGTGTGGGCCACGGCGAAGGTGTCATGGGGCAGGGGTGCTGTGAAGGTCCATCGGTCCTGCCGGGGGTTGTAGCGCTCCACTGTGTAGAGGCACTCACCTCCGATGGCGTAGAGGTGGCCATCCAGGGCCACGAGCTTGCAGTGTGGCCGTGCTTGGTTCAAGGGGCAGATCTCCCTCCAGATGTTCGTCAGGGGGTCATAGCAGAAGACACGGTTGGAGGGTCTCTGCGCACGGCCTGTGCCCTCGCAGCCGGCCACCACGAAGAGGTAGTTGAACATGCTGCACATGGCACAGCCCCGGGAGACCGCCTCTGGTGGCACGTGGCAGAGGTGATGCCAGCAGTCCCCTCCATCATCATAGTAGCAGAGGCGGCTGGTGTGGAGGCCAGGCTCTTGCACACTGATGTCTGCCACGGCCATGTACATCTTCCCCTTCATCCTCCGCCGCAGGATGAGCTCCCGCTCACTGGCATTGAGGCGGCTGTAGATGGAGGGTGTCCTCAGCACTTGCAGGTAGTTGTCGCTCATCACCTTGTAGGCGGCCTCCTGGAGATAGCCGAGCTTCTGAGCCTTGGCTGTGCAGAGGACCTCGTAGCAGTTCCCCAGGTCTAGGTGAGTGGGTGGTGGCATTCGGAAGAGGTCAGCACTGGCCACCAACCCTGGCTGGGGTCTTGTATGTGGTGTGCCAGCTGGCACTGTGACCCCAAACCCCTCCATGGGCAGCTGGAGGTGAGGGCTGTCTGCAATCTGGAGGATGCTGCCTTTGCGGCCAGGAGATGATGTCTCAGGCAAGATCTCCAAGCTCCCTGCAGGTGGTCGAACTATGGAGGAGGTGGTGAGATCCTGTGCTGCTGAAGTTTGGCCCACCTCCTGGGTTGCAAAGGTCTGCAGCTCTTCACTGGCCCGCTCCGAGCTGCGGTGCCGTGATGTTCCCAGAGGGATGTAGGGGAGAGACCTCTTCTTCAATACCGACTGCGAGATGGATTGGACATAGTAGTCGTAGACTTTGCCTTTGAGGCCGGGGACTGGCTGCCCATCCCTGTCGTTCACCCACCGCTCAGCGATGTAGTTCTCCTCCACCTGGATCTTTGCAACTGAGGAGAAAGAGTAGGAGGCATCCGACTCCACGTTGCTCGTCGTCATCATTAGACCCAGGTCTGAGGTGACGCTGAGGGTCTGGATCATACCCCTGCACCCCTCAGACTGCCGGCTCATGCCTCTGATGGACAAACCCTGCTCCGTGCTTTGGGTACGTCCATCACCTGCCATAGAGGCATTAGCAATCCCAGGGGGAAGCCCAGTGCTTGGGGCAAACGTGCCCTCCTCCTTGTGGCTGCTCAGTGTTTCGGCTGAGTCCCCCAGGTCATAAGAACTCGGCTCGCTTTCTGGCGTGCTTGCCAGCTGGCTTGCCAGCTTGCTCGCTTCCCAGCTCCCTTCCCAGCTCACTTCCCAGCTTGCTTCCTGGCTCACTTGACAGTTCACTTCCCAGCTCATTTCCCAGCTCGCTTCCTGGGATGCTTGCCATCTTACTTGCCAGCTCACTTCCCAGATCACTTCCCGGCTTGCTTCCTGGCTCACTTGACAGTTCACTTCCCAGCTCGCTTCCCAGCTTGCTTGCTGGCATGCTTGCCATCTTACTTTCCAGCTCACTTCCCAGCTCACTTCCCGGCTTGCTTCCTGGCTCACTTCCCGGATCACTTTCCGGATCAATTCCTGGCTCACCTCCTGACTTACTTCCCACCTCACCTCCCAGCTTCCTTCTGGGCTCGTTTCCCCTCCTAGCCATCCCTGCTCTCCTGTGAGTCAACCCTGGTTTGGAAACCATTTCCTCTCCTTCCTCCTCTTCCTCCTCCTCACCCCTTAACATACTTTGAACCCCCTGGGGAGGCATGCGCCATGTCCCAGGGGTGCTCGCTTCACCGCTCGCTCCTCCATCCCCACCGTCCCTCCTCACCCCCTCACCACACCCCCTCCTCCGTCGCAGACCCACCACCCCATCCCCATCACCATCCCGGGCAGCGTTTTCCCTTTGCCCTCCTGCCGTGTCGGCCGGCGGGATTCTGCCCCCAGCGAGCGAGCGGGACTTATAAAACCTGTACGCCAAAGTCAGGAGGAGCAGAGCGGCGGCGGAGAGGACCAGCTTGCTGGCCAGCTGCATGTCGGACTGCCAGGGCAAGGTTACCCGCTGGGGCTTTTCCATGCTGGGAATGCTGAGAAGCCGATTAATGATTGCCGAGTGAATCCGGAGCGTGGAGCTGAAGGTTTGGGGCAAGGTGACTTTGAGCTGGCAAATCTGGCAGGAGGTTTCCGGACAAGCTTTGCATGTTTGGGCTGGGCTGGGCTCCGGGGAAAAGGTGCAGCCCAGAGCTGGCGGCACAGAGCCGGCTTTATTAACCTGGTAAACAGAGACGCTCAGTGAAAAGCAAAAGGAAGCACAAAGGGAGGAAAAGTATCTCCTCCGAGCAGCCCAACGGTGCCGCCTCCTTGCTTCTTTTGCGATTTAAAAGGGATCATGCAACAGAAAGGGAAAATAAGTTGTTTTGTCCAGGAAAGGTCCCTCATCCCTGGGTGCAAACATGGGGAAGGGAGGGAGAAGCAGCCTGGTGCTGGGCAGACCTTTGGTCTGACACTGAGCAGCTGCTCTGTGGTTGAGGCGGGTGACTAATTCAGTAGCCTTCGTTTGTGGCACGCTAGCTAACGAAGGGTGACGGGAAATAGCCCGAAAGCTTCTGGGGTCTCTTTGAGGCCAGCTTGGAAGTGGCAGGGAAATTAAGAGCCAGTGGAAAAGGAGCTGAGGGCTTCAGGAGGGGGAAAATCCAGCACTGAAGAGCAAATAAGGGCAGGAGTGAGACTGCAGCTGGTGGCCGCTGCCTTGAGAGACCTGCATCCATGTGCACAGGGAGAGGGATGAACTAAGCGGCATAAACAGAAGCACTGGAACCAGGAAGAAATTTGGGATGGGAAGGGATGGGAGAGATGTGAGTTGTTGTTTCGAAGTAATGTGCTGCTGAGTGTGGGATGTCCACGGGGATTAAAGTCACTGTGGGGAAACTGAGGCATGGAGGATGCCAGACACTGTCACGTTTCCTTCTTTCTCCTCCTGGGAAGATGTCGGTGATGTGTCTGGTCCTGATCTGAATTTCAAAGATTTAGGGGAATTGTCGTCCCTGCCCTCCCTCAGGCAGCCGGGTCCCCACGCCTGGACCGCAGTGGGTGGGGGGGAGAGGAGGGGGCCTGGGGAATGGCATCCCTCTGCAACTACTGCTAAGCGAACTGAATTCAAAGGGATAAAATTAATTTCCTTTTCCCTGAGGGGAACATCTCGCATGCTGAGAGATGCATAAAGAAACGAGGGCCTATGAGGCGGCAAAGAAGCAGCCAAAATGTGGGTGGGGGTGAGCGGCTGCTTTTGTTTGTCTGTGGGGACTCGTTCCCCACTAGCTTGGTCCCGATCCAGTGGGATTTGCCAGAGAAATGAATCTAGGAAATGATGCTAAAACAACTCCTTGTATGAGGGGTGAGTGTAATGGGTCCCAACTGCATCGGTCATGGGTATGTGTGGGAGGAGGAGGTCTTGCCACGGGTCTTTAATGGGTGGTAGGTGCTTGCAAGCTCATACCCAGTGTCCACGGCCTCCCAAACCACCTCCTGTGCAGCAGCTGATCTTCACCAGCTGTTGAATGAGCTCAGGCGCTGCCTTTTGCGATGGGCAGGAGCATCTGAACCTTCCCTTGGGGGCACGTTCCCCATCACCACAAGCGGCTGCAAGTGCTGAGATGTCCCCCTGCCCATGCTAAGATGCTGAATTTCACCCGATGGCTTCACACGGCGGCCGTGGTGGTGCCAAAGGGGATAGAGGTCATTGTATATCTGCCACTAGACCTGCTGGGGATGCTCGTTAGGTGGAGGACCACATGCTAAATAGTATATTTTTACATATAGAGCGAAAGGATGGAAAGCAAAGGGGTAAACTCGCCATGTTGCCTTGGCAGTAGGGGACCCCTGTGCACATCCCTGCTGTGAACGGGGAGAGCCCGCCAGTGCCTTTTAGGGGGATGCTGGGGAAGTGGTCACCTTGTATGTGTGCAGCGTGGGGAAATGCGGCAGTGAAGAGGTTGGGGGAATGAGGTTATTTAGATTAAGACCTGGACTTTGAAGCAGGGCAAGCACTGGTGTGACACATCCCTTGGACGCATCTTGAACTCATGCCGGGGGTCAAAGCAGCACCAGCCAAAACCCACCCAGCCGCTCCCCTCCATCCTATTTGGCATATGGGGACCCAAAATCTATCACTGGGGCACTTGGACTGGCCAAAACCTCAGGGAAAGGGGTATCCCTCCTGCCTGCAAACACAGAGAGTCCTGGAGCCGAGGCCGCAGCTGGGGTAACAAGGATGTGCGTCGCGGCTGGGCACGTGTTTTGGGGCTTGGCTAATTGGCAAAGGGTCCGGCCAATTAGCTGTGACCCCCGGTCCGCAGCTGTGACCCCCGGGTTTCTTCATGTCTCACTGCTGCAGTTTTTAATCTGCAGGTAGATCTGCAAAGATCCTTGTGTTCGTGAGCTGGGAAGTATGAATTATGCATGTGCTTGGCAGCCCTGTGAACCTGGCCACGGCAGTAACCGTGCCAAGGTGGGGGAGGCAGGGGAAGCACTAAGGAAAGCCCACCATTGCTCCCACCAGCAGTCCCAGCCACACTGAGCCGGACAATCCCTGGATTTGTGCCCCCCACCCTAATATCCCAAAGGACTGGGGGCTTGGGTGCGCTGCATCCTTGACCAATGCAGGGCTGGGCCGCCAAAAACGCTGACTCTGGGGGCGTGCCGGGATAAGTGCGGTTATCCTCATGATCGGTGGGTTTTTATGGACCTCAGGAGGGTGAAACATGGAGTGCAGGAGGAGGCGAGGGTGTTTTCGGCCGGCAGGGTGCTCTGGGTGCTGTTGCCGTCACAAATGGCAGGATGGGGGGGACCAGAGCCTGACTGCGGAGCTTGAGCTGCGGGGGATGATGCCAGGAAGGAGGATGCCCGTGGCAAAAACGCAGGTCCGACGTATAAAAGTATATTTATATATGCTTTGCGGTAAGGAGGAGGAGCGGCAGTGTAAGGGAGCAGGGGATGCGGCCGTGGCGTCCCTGAGCAGCAGTGACGTCTCGGCACTTGTGATTCTAATTGAATGTAATTGCTTCTTCCAAATTTTGCTAAAACCTTTTCAAAGTCCCCTGAAATTAGGGAACATCGATAACACCGCTCCTTGGGGTTTTCAGCTCACGTCATCCCTAAGAAGCACGATTAATTTTTTACAAGCTAATCATATCTCTTAGGCAGGTTGTCAGCCGTGGATCTGTCATCTCTCATCAATAATAAAAGAACCTGAGGAGCTCTTTCCCCCTCCAGCCTCCTGCATTATTCACTGCCAGGTCCTCAAACAACGGGGTGTGTGGTAGCGGGGAGCCAGGGATTTAATTGATGTCCTTTGTAATTACCTGTAGGAAGGTAGATGGGGACGGGGAGGCAGGGCTGGTAGGTGGTGGGTGAAGGATGAGAGAGGGCAGGAGGTGAAGGCAGAGTCCAGCACGGCATGGATGGTTTTCTTTGGATCACTGCTTTGGTAGGATGGCATCTCTTTGTGTTCCTCACCCTGGGGACTTGGGGGGACTTTGGGAAAGCAGGCAGCATCTCTGCCCAAAATGAGGAGAGGCTCCCGTGTCCTCTTGCTCATTGCTTTGGCTGTGCAGAGAAGGTTCCAGCCTGTAGCTTGATCCATCACCATGCCAGCATCTCTGGGAAAAGAACTCAGCACCCCGAATACACATGGAGGGATGGATTTGGGATGCAGGACCACTGAGCCCACTGGTCCTCTCCCAGCTGCTGGGTGGGGAGGTCACATCGCTCCTGAGATGGCACCAAGCAGAGCTGGATGATGGTGGCACTGCCGCTGTAATGCTCCTCATTTCCATGGTTCCAGGCTAAAACCACCACATTTGCATTTAAATGGAGGTTTGGGTGTCTGTAAATCCTCATTTTTTGAAGCGAGAAGGCCTAATGGTTGTTTAATCACGTTGGGATGAGGCCCCTGGAGCATCGCCAATCCAGCAAGGAGGGTGAGAAGCATCTGCGCCGTGGTGTGGGGCTCTCCTGCCTGCTCCGTAGGGTGGGGGGTAAACAGATTAATGCAAATTTCCCTAAAAAATAAAGGTTCCTCTAAAAAATGAAGGTTCCTGTCTCACCCAGCTGCAATGGACTGGAGCAGTGAAAGCGGTCGGGGAGGGAGCAGGGGTTCGGGCAGCTGGTCTGAAGGGATCCAGATGCTGGGCTGCTGTTGCTTCAGGATGAAAGTGGAGCTGCTGATCCTCCTCCATCCCAGCCAGCCCCAATCTGTCCCCACGTTGCTTCCAGCCCAAATTATAAACCCATGTGCTTTTACGTGTGGGAAGAAACTCCTGAGCCGCCGCGTGTTTGTTCAGCTCCTTTGAGGCTGGAAAATCGCTCGCAGCAAGGTTGGCAATGGAGCATGGTAGGGACTGAATCTGCTTAATAATAATTAATCATAATAGTAATAATAATGCTTAGCACTCGTACAGGGCTTTGGAAAGATGAAGCGCCACACGGCTGCTGGCTAATCCTCTAGGATTAAGAGTTCCCGGAGGAATAGGCAGGGGAGCGCCCCGCCCTCAGGCTCCTCTCCACCCGCTGCATCCACTCCCAAGAGATCCTGGCCTGGAGCTGGATGTTCTTGGAGCACCACAGGGAGGGAAATCAGCCGGGCAAACCACTGGCATTCCCCAGCACTGGGCAGGATTGGGGTAAAACTATGTGGTTTTCTTGCAAAGAGCCATCCTGCAGCAGGATTAATGCCGTACTGGGATGTGCCCGGCAGCACAGGGTACCATAGGAATGGCCAGGATCTGGCCGTGCTGGACCGTTATCTGTTTCCATGGTGACAATTAGCCGAGGGGGATGGGGAGAGTGGCACAGACCAAATGCTGGTGTGGAGCTTTAAACTCGGCTGGTGCCTCTGCACCGGCTCTGCCTGACGGGACGCGTGCTGCCCGCTCATGTGTGAGCGCTGACATTTTGGGTTGGGAGCTGCCTGTCACTAGAGATTGACCGTCCAGCCTGGGACAAGTGTTGTGCACAGCACCCGTCTTGCAGCAAAGC